TCGAAAAGCACGTTGAACTGAAATTACAGATTCACTCTTAGCAAATTGCACAACACAAAATGCTTTACGCTTAAGAGTCGCCATTTTGCTTACATGGCGCTGCAAGCTAGAAAACAACAAAGCAGTCCACGTGCATGCGTTTATCCAAAACTGCCTGAGTTACTTGTTAACTGTGACCTTGAGCCAGCACTTTACAAAGCTTACAATTGCTACTGTTAAAATTTATTAATGGGCATACCGTAAGCCAATAATTTTTATACTTTTTTATTTCTACTGTTCCCTTAATTTTCCACTTTTCTTTGTTCATTCTCCCATTTACATGTGCTTTTAAATACTTATCATTTTCGTTAGGCGTTCGTTAAGCTTACATCTAAGACAAATAATAACATTTGCAGTATAACTCACCTTTACCTGTTCATCAAGCGTTGTTGAAGATAAAAATATCAGTAACATAATAACCTTCCAGAACGCGCGTATGCGCAAAATTTAAGACAAATTCATTTTTTTATGCCCATTTTTCACATATCGAAGCTGAGACGTGTAAAGGTCATTTTTATTCCTCCTTTCTACCCTTCCCCACATCATGGAATGTACCAACAGAAAGTCATATTTGACTTTTTTTTTTTTTTTTTTTTTTTTTTTTTATGAACTTTTGTGCTACGCGGTAGCTTTTACGTAAAGCTTACGACACGCTCTTGCTCGAGAGTGAAAATTCGGAAAATATTTTTTTTCTCAAATATTTTGTAATTTTGTGTTATTAATTGCCGTATATTGTTTTAATTTAAATATATTTGGCTCTAAATTTTTTAATCGGTTTTCATGACAAAAAAATATGTGCAACCTGCTGATTTTGCTCGCATTCTTCAAGAATTATCTGATGAAAAAAAGGAAGACAAGGAAACCTTTGGATGGGAGAACAATAGCAAGTTCCATTCCTTATTTTCTTTTATTTCTTTTTTTTTTAGAAGTTAATGCAAATATTAAATTTAATTTAAAGTCCGTTTTTGCAACCAGTAAGAAGTAAATTTCCTTGCAGAACTAAGTAATGCTGAACTTACTTTTTTTCCTACCAAGGTGTTTTCCTTTTTTATTTGTCTATACTTATTTCTGATGAATATTAAAATTAGCTTCAATTTTAAAACATAATTATTAAATCATAAAATTAAAATTTTCTATAATGAAATACATTATTGCATTTCCATCTCACTAACATAATACCGTAAAAATAATTTAATTATATTTCAGTGTGATATAATTCGTATTTTGCAATAATAAGATTAATATTTTATTTCTTAACAAATTTATCATCAATATTCACTCATTTCTGTCGTTTTTCATGCCAAAAACGGTAAAATAACGGATGTCGTAAGAAATACGACGCGCGCGTGCTGGAAGGTTAATGTTTGTAACTGAAAAGTTAGAGAGAAGCTTAGAAGATACTTAGGAGTGCTGTTTTGAAAAACTTAAAAGGCGCAGTAGCGTTTTCATACCTTGTAATAACATCAGGCATATGTGATGTTACGGTAGTATTTTTTTCATTCAACGAGCATTAATGATTGAATAATATGGACATTAATCCAGTCATCAAACTCAGTCAATTAAGATTATTATTTTTTACGAGTTCATGTTGAGAAATTTTGCAGCGGCTGTAGTATAAAAACAATAAATAGATATTTAGTGTGTAGAGACATTAGGTTAGGAGACATGAAAAATGAGCAATTCCCTCCACGGGACTCGAACAACAGACCTCTCGAATACGTGCCGAGTGTACTGGCTATTACACTATGAGGCCATGCTAAGAAAACAGGAGAAATACCTTATATACTCCCTCTTTTAAAGGGCGACTGGAGATTAGGGGACCCAATCGCCAAATTTTGGTGGTGGAGAACCCCCAACCACGACCTTTTTTAGTTCGGGCGCAACTGTAGAGACATTAGGTTATTTCGAAGCAGGATAGAGGAAAACTGAGCAATGCCCTTAACGGGACTCGTACCACGGACCTCTCGAATACGCGCCGTGTTTGCTGACCACTTCACCACGAAGGCATACTAAGAAGGGGGGAAAATACCTTATAATTGGAAGACAATTACAGAAAGACAGGCTCACCATTGGTTTTAAAAATTTCGCTCAGGAGATTTGAGGCTATAAATCGAATCCCTTGATCATCGTCCTTCCTCCGTTGATTCTAATGAAATAAAGTATTAAATCAAATCAGATCTTCCAGGAGAGATCACGCCGAAGAGAGAGTAAGGTTCAAGAGAAGTAAAAAGAATTAAGAATTTTGTTGCCTAAGGAAATCGCCGATGAAGGCAAATTAGGCGCTTAGAGCTGTAATCTTCTTCATTAAAGAAAAATAATACAAAAAGGTTCCTGAAACGAATAGTGACTGTACGAACATTGTACGACAACCCTACTCGCAGAGATTAAAAAACGAGGCTGCTTCAGGAAATACATTATACAGGTATGTTACAAATGCTTGACGAACGGTCTTAATCAACGAACTACTGTGAATAGATTTGTAATCTTATTGCTTCAGTATAATACCTGGCCACAAGGATAATTTCTACCATACAGCAAGTTAGAATTTAAATACGAAATTTTGCCTTCTCTTCTCTGTTCTGTCCTGATATTTCCCCAACAGACTACCATTTTTTCCAGAACTTGAGCCATGTCTTATCAATGACACATTAATTTATTGTCAAAGAAGGATTTCTTGAGTTTCAAAGACACTGATTTTTACAGGCATCGTATAAAAGACCTTGTTAAACTTTGGCAACAATGAAAAAAGACTACTAAAGGTAATTTTGATTAGAAAAGCATTATGTTTCTTCTTTATCACTCGTCTTTAAAGTCATATATTTAATTTTCTAAAACCTAATATTTCTGAGAGAAGAATGAAAAGGTGATTTCTCTTGGCTTGCTATTCTACCTAGCTGCTGTACTTATCCCTCAGAATGTTCTTAACTACGCTTCATTACTATTCATTATTAGAAGGATCTATTCTGAATATTGTTAAAGAATATTTCAAATTTTATGTCTCATTTTTAGGTAATTAATAATTTAAAATGAATATCATAGCCAGGGTTATAGTGCGTCCTAAAAGAAAATGCAGATAGACGTAGTTAATGAAGAAGTGATATTTCAGGTGAACTTTTAACAGTCGGATTCATGAATAAAAGAAATACGATCCCCTTTATATTTCTTAGACTATTCTTAGCAGAATAAATCCGATTAAGAAACATATATTTCATAAATATTTCTTAGTTCTAAAAGTGATAAAAATGAGTATGAATTCAACTAAACTGTAGAATAGAGTTTCATGACACGTGAGTTGAAAGAGCAGTCATATTGAATGAACACTGAAATGTAAATACATGCAAGCATAAAATGATTGGTAAGAAAATGGAAGGGGGGCCTAAAAAAGATTTTCAGACCCGTACTAAAAGTTTAAACAAAGTCCGAAAATTTTACAGCAAGGTATTAAAAATATTTGAGAAACTTATAAATATGAACATTTATAGGTATGTGACAAGAATATATCAAGAAAACGATGTCAATAAATTAGGAAATTTATTAAATATTTCGCGGAACAGTCATTTTGTTTTGCTATGCGATTATCTTTGTAGTCATACTTAGGAATAGAATTGTAGGATTACCTATTTTCTGATATTTCAGCAAAATATCAGAACAAAATGTGTTAGCATGAATATGCTTTGAACATAATTTCTTATACACGTAGGTCCACCAGCGGCCGAGCGGTTGAATCCAGGAACCCCGCTAGTTCCCACCTGGGTTCGATTCCAGCCAAACTAGCTGTTGCAAGGGCGTTTTCGTGTTTTTTCCCCATGTGTAACGCGTATGTGAGCCATTTTCTTAGAAAGTTCTCCACGGAGGCAACCCTCCCCTTAGGCAGAGAGCTGTAGTGTGCGTTGCCGTAATTAAATAAACCAAACCAAATCTGACATAATTAGAGATTTTGGGTGAGCCTCCTATATAATGTGTTTATCTTGTAATAATGTTTTGATTACCTTGCAATTGATCCATAATACCCGAGCTGCATATTTCCAAATCGACCAATGAAGATGTAATCCTTAGGTTATTTGAATATGGCAAAGCACCTAAAGACTATCTGCTTAGGACAAGAGCTGCCTTTATGGAGGATTTTCTAACGGAAACTGGCTCATAGTCATGTAACACATGGGGAAAACCACGAAAGCTAACGATACAGCCAGATTTTTTTACCACTCGGCTAGTATTGGAAATGAAGAAGGTAATTCACAGTAAAAATTTAAAGGGTCAATATGCGTTATTTAAGAACTGAAAGAAGGATAACTAATTCAAAATACTGGTTCTAAATGTAAATTACTTTCTTTCTTCCCCTTTCTCTCTCACTGAATAAGACACAGTGACATTAATGGTGTATGGTGTATTTAATTATGGCAAAGCACACTAGGGCTATCTGCCTAAGAGGAGGGATGCCTTTCGTGGAGGACTTTCTAAGGGAAACTGGCTCGTATACACGTTACACATGGGGAAAACCACGAAAACACCCATGCAGCCAGCCCGTTCGCGGGATTCGAACCTCGGACCGAACTACCAGTGTTCAGCGACTTTACCGCTCGGCCGCTGGACATTAATGAGAGAAAAGTAAAATTTGCTTGATTTTAAATAAACATGCTGTTTTTAGATTTTATAATTCTTATAAGCAAGCAAACGTTTGTATATGCTGAAGAAAAATCCATAACTCAGAATGACATTTACAAAAATAGCAGTTTTGAAGATTTCATTGAATATGAATCTAAAGTAAGAGATAACTCGCCAAATATGGTCAGCAGTAATAATAACAGCATAAAAGAGTAGAGATTTTAGTAGTAGTAAATCATAAAAAATACGTCATCATTTGTCAAGTTATAAATTTTTTTTTCGAAATGACACTTCTATTATTGTGCAAGCCAAAGTTTAGAAATGAGCTATTTGAGGGGAAATCCAGCTCTCAGACTTCCTTGTTTTATAGCCGGTGTAATGTCAAAATGCTTTCGGAGCGTGCGATTGTTATACATACGAAGATTTCTGCTGCTTTATGTAGCGTAAGTGCCACGATGTAGAAAGTATGTATGGAAGATACTTAGTAATACTGGATTTTTTTCACAGCTAACAACTCTTATTTAATATGATAGCCATAAAATTTTTCATACGTAAGTACAACTATGCTATCTAATGGAAATGCTACAAGCCTTAAATGTATACAAGGTAATTTATGAATATAGATAATAATTCTGATAAAACTGTATAGTCATGAAATTTTAGTAAGCCATCTCGTTTGATGAATTTTAAGTTGGGAAAATGATATGTTTATGATTTCTACACCTGCACCGAGTGTATTGAATAAAATACTAATTTTTATATTACGTTAAAAGATAATACCTTAAAGATGTCGTGACAACGTGCGCTTCGTTTCCTGTGAAAAACAAATTGAAAGAAATATAAAGGAATAGGTTTATTGAAAAAATGTGTTCCAGTACTCACCTTGTGTTTACTTTTATTAAATGCATTGCATATATAATAATGATTACTGTCATAGGAAAGCCTGTTCTTCTGCTATAAAATATCACAAGCAGTGAAAGAAAATTGAAATGCAAACTTAGACAATGCTCACGTAATATAACGCTATAGCAATTCGTAACTATTTTAGTAGCAAATGTTTTTGCTTTCTTGTGTACAAACATGTTGATAATTGTTCGCATAATAGTACTTTTCTTGTTATTGACCGGAACGTTAACTTTTGGACTTCTTCCGATTTGTGTACGACCTTATTTGAATTCATGCCAGTGTAAAACTGTCCATCAAAAAGGATGTGAAACAAGGAAACAAAGAGTTGCAACTTGTTGTTTGATATTTTTCGGGGGAGGTGTGCTACTGGCTACGTGTTTGGTGCATCTACTTCATGAAGCCCGCCAAGGTTTCGATGAAGCGTTAGCAAAATGTGCAGAGGTAGACTTCAATTCTACGGATTATGGTGCAGATAATGAAACAGATATTGGACCTGCTGTAGGATATATAAGAACACTTGAATTAATAGAAACTACCACACTTCAAACTACAGATTATCCTTGGAGCCATAATTTCAGCAAACCATTCCAATCTGTTCTTGAGAGAGCTCCTGTATATGATAGTGTTTTATGCAGCAGCGATTTGCTTCAAACGTCATTCCCTATACCCGAATTTGTAACAATGTGTGGATTCTTTTTGATATACTTCGTAGAAGAATGCATCAAATTTATGATTCGTTGCTACCAGTCTTCCAGAAGTATGTCCTTTCTACCCGATAGCAGTGATGATGACATGAGCTTAGAGAAGGTCGAACACTTCTATCAAGGCAAAATTAGGCAATTAACAGCCGCTGAACAAGAAGGCATGTATCAGTTATCACCAGAAGAAAACTGCAATGATAAGATTGATCCTTGCAGATTAGAAATAAAAGTCCTTAATATATGGAAACAATTGCCTAAGTCAATGACGACAGATAACGAAGAATCTAAAGGAAGAGCGAAATCTGTTAAAGACTTAAACTTCTTTTATGGCCAAAATGATATGGAGCATTTGAATACAGAAGGTTTGGAAGATTTTGTTACAGTTTTAGCTCTATCTCTGAATTCAGTGTTCGAAGGCTTTGCAGCAGGATTCCAACATACTGAAATATCAACTTGGATGTTGTTTGTATCTTTAGCTTTGCATAAATTTGTATCAGCATTTGTGGTTAGTTTAGAGACATTGCACAGCGGAGGAAGCAACCGCCGTGTAGTTCTGTATATAATAATATTTTCCTCAATGTCCCCTATGGGTATGATGGCAGCTATATTGACGCATCGTAATCTTGTTGAATCGGGAAGTTTACAGATTGGTCTCCTCAACGCTCTGTGTGTAGGAACTTTGTTGTACGTAACATTTTATGAGATGCTGCGCCAGAGGAAAGACTTCGCTGAAATTTCTGGATTTTCTCAATTTTTCGTACTATTACTTGGATTTATTGCAATGACCTCAGTTGAATATTTTTATACTCGTGTGGAATAACGGCATAATTAACTAAAAGCTAGTATTATAAATTGAATTTTATTTTAGATAATTTTATCCTTTCAAACAAAGTGCTTAATATTAGTCATTTTTCAATACGAAACCCTGCCACATTTTATTTTATTTTATTTTTATTTTTATTTTTATTTTTATTTTTTTTTTCTGAACCGTAGGTGATTTTATGTATTAATTGTAATATATATATTACATTTATCAGACTTGAATAATTTTTGGAATATTATTGACAAAACCCTCTTCAGTAAAGACTGTGTTATGAAAATATAGCTATTTTAAAGGTTATTTCTATATCCTATATCAAGACTGGATGCACATTTTAGATGTTTTGCGGGATGTATAACAACAGCTGATAAAACAATGTAATAATTGGATGAAATTCATTAAGTAATTTACACTACTTTTTCAATTGAAATTAAATTAGTTTATATCAAATGAGTAAAATTGTGATTTAAATGAATTGCAATGTGAGCATAATTCATGTTGTTAACTATGTTATCTTCATACATGAAAATCTGCTGCACATTCTGAAAGGTAAGTGCTAACTTTGCAGAATGTTTTATCAAATTTTGGAAAAAGTACGAATTAATATTTTTTTATTATGTGCATTATTGAGATATAAAACTAAGTAAAATATGCAAAATAATTTTATTTATATACTGTTGTCCTAAGAATTCAGAACAGTTCTTAAATAATTTTATTACGTCGTTTTACAAAAGAAAGAAAACATTTGGTAATATCTTTGTGTTGTTAGTAGCTCTGGTGTTTGTCTGCATTTACCTTATTTCTCTCAAATTAGTATAAAATTTAAGCATTTATTTACTTTCACTCTCTAATAATAAGCCCTATTTTATATAAAGATAAATGTATTGTTTGCATTACCCCATCATCATTGTATGAATTTGCGGTTTAAGAATATTTATTTCTAATTATTAACTGGATGCATTTTCACTGGATGTATTTTCTACCATTGTTAAATATCCACTTCTTAAATTTTTTCCTGGTTTGAAGAGAGAAATACTGACAACTTCTTAAGGAACTAATTTAAAGCAGTATAATCTCATTTAAATTTTTTTAGTTATTTAATGTGGTATAAATCTGAAACGGGATTTTGAAGATGTTGTTGAAACATTTGAAAAGAAACGAAATATGGAAAAGAAATTTCCTTTTAATAAATGTTTAAACTATTGTAGCATGTTAATGTGTATTAAAGTTCCTTTCAAAGGAGTTTACGTTTAATGAAATATTTGGCAATCCTTTTATATAATAATGACGTTTATTTTAAATCTTGATTATTTAAAATTTCAACACATTAAAAAAATGTGTGCCCCTTTAAAATTAATTTCAAGGAGCATTTACTGTGTTTTTCTATAAGAAGTTTGTGATATCTATCAATGCCATTTAAAATATTTTTACAACATTAAAACTCTTATTAAAATTTGTATAATTTGAAATTTGAAATTGCAGAACTTTTTTTAGTTAAAGCTTATTAATAATATTTTTACTAGATTCTTTATAATCTGAAAATTTAAAACATGAAAGATAAAAACGTGCTCCTGTTAAATATGTAGATACTTACGCTATTACCTATAAAAATGTAATATATTTTAAGCTCGGAATAATTGAGATGTTAAATATCAAGGTACCCGAGACAGCTCTATGCCTATTCGTCAGATTAGGATATCTATATCATATGTCAGCATGGGCTAAGTTTTAGAAAATTAACGACTGCATGTATTATTACATATATTTTGAGAGTATTTCTAGCCCACAGATGTTTTGGTGTTTAAACATGTCTCTTGTGATAAGTATTTGTTTATTAATATATTTTTGTATTATTTTAGACCTTGTGTGAAAATATCAGTAGAAATTAATGGATCGAAATCTTGGAAGTTAAAATAAATTTACTTCAGCTTTTATCACATTACACCTCACCATACTGGAAATACTTCCACACTATAATATGACAAAAGACATATTTCGAACCTAACTATTCAGTCTTATTAATTTTATCATTATTCTTCGATTGATGATTTGAATATCTTTGCGAGACTATGACTGCACTTTCTAAGATTACGAATTGAATAAATAATCATCATAACTCTCTAAGGTAATTAGGCTGTATGTGTGATTATGGCAAAGCCTCGAGGGCTATCTGCCTAATGGGAGGGTTGCCTTCGTTGAAGACTTTCTAAAGCAACTGTCTCGTATACACGTTACACATGGGGAGAACCACGAAAACGCGCATGCAGCCAGCCCGTTCGCGGTGTTCGAACCTCACACCGAACTGCCAATGTTCAGCGACTTTACCGCTCGGCCGCTGGTGGGTCCGAAAGTAATTAGGGTAGCCCATTCATATGTATGCAATTCATTACTTTCTTATTGGGGACATAATTTAACTTCCAAACTACTGTTCACTTATATCCCTAATCAATTTACTCTCAAGGATCGATTCGCCATTTTTCTCTCCGTAGTGTTTCCCTGAGATTTGTTATATATATATATATAATATATGTGTGTGTGTGTGTGTGTGTGTGTGTAATGTAACTGTAATATCTTGATGATTTGGTGATATCTGTAATGGATCTGGGCAGCTGTTTTACTGTGTAGTTTTAACGGTGCATAAGAAAGGATAATTTTGAAGCTAGAGATGTGGCTGTAGATACATCACATAATATTATCAACGGACAACTATCATTAATGAGCAATATTATTAACGAACAATGATTCTTTAAGACGCATATCCTTCATCACACATCGTCATTGGCACAATATGCGCCGAATCTTCATAACATTCTTTGAAATCTATATCTTCAGACAACGGAGAAATCAAAAAGAGAAACGACACTTGTTATCACAACGAGGCAAAGCGGAAAAGTGAATACGCATTCAGAAAAAGCGTGGTAGAATCAAAAGGTAACTTCATGTATGAGTGGATAAGAAATGTCCACATTGCAGATTATACAAGAAAGCATAATTTGAGTTAATTTTGAAATAATACGCTTTAGATTTATATGTTTAAGCGACTACTACTTTTAGGACAGGAAGGGAAAGTAGTCAAATTAAAATAAGGAATAAAAGCGACCTTTGGCAAATAAAAGTTAGAAGTATGTTTTCTTATATTATATCTTACACATCTATATATACATATAGGTGTGTAAGATATAAAGGATATATATACGAATAAAAATTAAATAAAAAGCAGGTCGAAGCCTAATCCAATTGCGCTGAAAGCAGCAATAAGTGGTGATAGTAATGCAAAAGTGATTAAAATAAATAATAAATTTAAAATTCATCCCATATGCAAACTATAAGAAAAGGGACAAAAAAGCCAAAGCTAAAAATGAAAACATGAATTTAAATCTTTGGCTGTATCATCATCAGGGGGGGGGAGGTTATTCAATGAAAGAAATAAGAAAAAATAGCCTTTTACTGAATCAACAACGACACAAATTAAAGTTTAAAAATCACAGCAGAAAAATAATCAAAGTAATCTAGATCTTTATCATTCCAACTCCCACAGGTCGAAGTAAGCAGTGTAACAAATTGCAAATCCATAGCATCAAAAACATAAACAAATTAAAAAACATAAAAATGTTACTTTGAGTATACCGTACAGGGCAGGGGTTCTGAACCGGTGGTACTCATACCACTGATGGTACGCAAGAGCAAAATAGGTGGTACGTAAAGAAGCAAAGTATTTTTAAATATTAAATTCGAAAATCAAAACCCCAACAGCCCGATTGAGTTTTTTCTCTAACACTCGTAAATTTATGCTATCTGAGCTTTGTTCAAAAGTGGTGGTGGTAGTAGTACTTTGTAGTGGTGGTTTCAATTTTTTAATTTTTGTTTAGGTGGTACGTGTTAGTCAAAAGGTTGAGAACCGTTGGTATAGGGTATTTCTCCCGCCTTCTTAGCATGCCTTCGTGGTGTAATGGTCAGCAAACTCGGCGGGTATTCAAGACGTCCGTGGTCCCAGTCCCGGTGAAGGCGATTGCTCATTTTTCATCTCTCCTGCTTTCAAAAAATACCTAATGTCTCTACAATGGCGCTCGAACTAAGAGGGTGTTGGATGATGATTCTCTCTCCCAGGTTGACGATTTGGTCCCCTAGACCCCAGTTGCCCTTAAAGGGGATATATGAGGTATTATCCCGCCTTTTATCAGCCTCCATGGTGTAATGGTACACGCTCGGCCCGTATTCCAGAGTCTGTAACTGATTTCCAGCAAGGCTTCCTCATTTTCAACCCGATCTTCCTGCAGGCTTTACCAACCACGGGAATTCTCAGCGTATTACACGATTCCTCAGAACGGGACGTCAAATGGTTCTTGCGGTTTTCCGCGGGAAAGATGCGGACGCACTTTTATTCTCCGCCCTCTGACAGAGCATCTTCGACAGAGGTTCTTTCCTTCTGACTACATCACATATCCTGTGAATAGACTATTCATGGACTATTGATGCAACAAGAGCATCTTAGAGATATTTTTGAAGCAAGTGAATGAAAATAATTATATCCAAGAAACTAAAGATTAATGTAAAATGTAGAAAGGCGGCCTAACCGTCAGATTGCTAGCAATGACTAGGATGACTTCCAGCCCTGTAGTGCCATTAACCTAGTTTGATAGAACAGGTTAAGTAAAGTGAACATATCTCTCATGCTTTCAAAAAATACCTAATGTCTCTACAACCGAATCTAATAAACAAGGCATACAAATACAAACAATCCGAAGCATGAAAAATAATAGAAAAAAATCTATGTAAATTTCGAAACCATATAGGCCGGATTGATAAATTTTAAAGAAATTATAATATCAAAGTCATAAACAAGCGAAAAAGGTTGCAAATTTTTAATTTAAGCATACCGAGGCCAAAAGACATGCAAAACAGAAGCAAACGAATGAAGAATAATAAATGAAAATTTTAATCTAAAATGTACGAAATAAAAGTAAAAAATGCAAAACAAGAGGAGTTAGTTATTAAAAACTAATAACATTAGAGAAACAAAAGTTTTGAAATGAAAGAATATATTTAATCTGTTCAGTAACCAAACACTGTTGCTAAGCCTAAAACGTGCTAATTAATTAATTTAAATAAATTACGAATTTTAAACTGATTAATATTAATAAAATAACTGGAAAAAGTTTTATTGCAATACCGAGTACGGTACAGTGCAAGAAAATGTAATGCTATCATTTCTTCAATGACGGTCTCAGGGACAAAATTTTATGACGC